AGAATACAGCATGGAAAGGGAGGAAAGAATAACTTCATAGTGGAGAAACCTGACACACGCTACCATAGCTAGGTGGTCTAGGTTCACACAAACAGTGATAAGTCGGCTGGGTGTAGTGGCTCATGCCTGTAATCCCAGCATTTCGGGAGGCCGAGGCAGGTGGATCACTTGAGGTCAGGGACTTGAGACCAGCCTGGCCAACAAGGTGAAACCCCGTATCTACCAAAAAATACAAAGAAGTTTAGCTAGGCATGGTGGCACATGCTTGTAGTCCCAGCTACTCGGGAGGCTGAGGTGTGAGAATCGCTTGAACCCAGGAATTGGAGGTTGCAGTGAGCTGGGATTGTGCCACTGCACTCCAGCCTGAGGGATGGAGTGAGACCCTTTCTTAAAAAAACAAAAAAAACCCCAAAAACCCAAAAAACCTCAAAACAGTAATAAGTCATGTTGACAATATATACGCTTTATATGATGTGATGACAATGGTACTTTACCTTTCTGGTCTTCCTTCTCAAAACCCACAACCCCAGTCTAATCATGAGAACAACATCAGACAAATCTCAAATGAGGGACACTCTACAAAATACCTGACCAGTACTCCTCAAAACTGTCAAGGTCATCAAAAACAAGGAAAGTCTGAAAAACTGTCACAGCCAAGAGGAGCCTAAGGAGACATGACGACTAAATGTAATGTGGTATCCTGGATGGGATCCTGGAATAGAAAAAGGACATTAGGTAAAAACTAAGGAAGTGTGAGTAAAGTATGGATTAATTAATTAATAACAAAGTATAAATACTAGTTTATTAACTGTGACAAACGTACCAAACTAATGAAAGATATTAATGATAATGAAAACTGGGTGTAGGGTATACGGAAACTTCACAATTTTTCTATAAATTTAAAACTATTCTAAAATAAAAAATTTTATGTAAAAAACAAATTAGGTCAGACTAACCTCAGTACTGAATAATCTTACATAAGAGAACTTTAGGCAAACACTTGTCAAAAACAATGAAAGTCTGAAAACCTGTCACAGCCAGTTTTTCACAGTCACAAACACTTGTTATGGTCTTTCACCAAATCCTTATAGATAGAAAAGGAGAATCATGGGCCAGTATTATGGGAAAATAGGTATATTTGATAAAACAATAATAGTCAACGGATATGGATGTAAGAACTAAAGGCAAGCAGAAAGATTTTTGTAAGTATCCCAGAAGCTTGATTTCTGGACATGACCTTTTTACGGTTATGATGAAGAACCTGGATGCCAATATGGTATATGAAAATGAAGTCTACAAAATGAGAGGAAATTGGGAAGGACAAAATCCTTGAATAACAAAATCAGGATTAAAAAGAATCTTGACAAGTTGGGGAGACAGAATGGATCTAATACAGTAAAATTAAACAGGAAGAAAAAGGTAATACACTTGTACACCAAAAGAAAAAGTATACAAATGTAGATTGAGAAGACATAATTAGAAGTTAGCATTTATTTTTTTTAAATTTTAAATGATTTTAGTAACCTCATTGAGTTGTGAGAATTACATGGCTGCCCAAAAAGGTAATGTCATCTTAGGTTACATTAACTTAAGTATAAATTGTTAGCATGAAGAGAAAGAGGTACCTGTGACCTCAAAACTGGCCAGATCATATTTAGAGTACAGATGAAGTGCTGAGATTTACACATTTAAGAGAACTACAAAAACATAAAATGCACTCAAAAAGGAGGAATCATGATTGTAGATTTATAATCAAGCCACATCAAGGTTTTTAGTCTACAAAAGAAGACTCCCATAAATATATACACCTGCTATATATCCACAAAAATTAAAAATTAAAGAAAAGAAGACTAAGTGTAGACACGATGGCAATCTTTAAAAATCTCAATTGCTACCAAGTGAAAGAGAGATTTATACTTTACTATGGCTAGAGGCAGCACCAGGTCCAAAAGAAGGAAACTCCAAAAATTAGTTTTCAGAATTTTCACAATGAAGATTTTCTAATTGCAGGCTAAGAATAGACTGAACTACGTAAGTACCATACTCTAGAAGTGTTTGAGCAAAAGCTAATTTATCAGTGATGTTTTAGAGGGGAATTAAAATTGAGTAACAAATAATTGAGCATTAAGTACCTTTCCAATCCCAAGATTATGACCAAAGAGAGGCATAAGTAATATTTAAGTATGCCTAAAGTTCCTTTGATATTCAAAACCATCTACTTGACTTGCATTGGTTTAGTTATTAGAGCTACCTCACTCTAGGATACTCAAACGTTGAAGTGAAACCACTATCTCTGAGTCCTGTCCACCCTTACTCTCCCAAATTAAAGAGTATTTCTTGGTTGAGCTGGGCTTTAGTAGCTCCAAAATCAGTCAATTGAAAAAAATAAACTAAAATAACTCAGAATTGATCAGATTATTCACTGTTCAAATACTACATCAAAACTTCAAAAGGCTTCACTATAAACAAACTAATGAGTATAACCTATAGAGGTATACTCATTTTCTGAGCTCTTATTCTTCTCTTCAAACTTGCTGCAGGCTAGATTATGGCTGCAAATCTCTCAATCATGTAACATCTCTCTGGTTGCTTCATGAGCTGTATTGTATTAGTTTGGCTACCTACAATCCATCTAATTTGTGGAAACTCCTCCTGGCTGCATAGTCCTAATTATTCCAGTGGCATGACAGATGAAGGTCAAGAAATAAAGCAGCACAGAGATGGGCAGAGACATTGGTTAACAGATACAATGTTAGGCACATTTAAACAAGTAAAGAAATCAGGCACATTATCTTTTCAAATAAAGTTGACATCTCTGCTAGGATAAAGGTTCCTTTTTCCCACTTTAGCATAATATGTGAATTTAGCAAAATGCTGTTCAGAAATTGACAATGGGACAACAGGGCATAATGGGAAGAGGCTGAGGTCTGATTTTAATTCCTGGCTCTGCCTCTCATCACTGGTAATGTGGTATGGAAAAAATACTCATCTTTCTGAGCCTCTATTTTCTCATCTGAAAAATAGGGACAATAAAGATCCTACCTTTTTCACAGCATTCACTATGATGGTTAAATGAAACCATGCATATAAAAGCACTTTCCAAACTGTGAGGAACTTGTAATTTGATATTATTACTAATATATCACATCTAATATTTCTAAAAGTTGACAAGATCAGAAAGTATAAGTTGGTGCCAGAAGTAAAGCATGCTGGTATTAATCTATTGGGAATAAAGTTAATATGGCAAGGCAAAAAAAAAAAAAAAAAACTAAGATTCTCAACTTTTTTTTTTTTTTTTTTGAGACGGAGTCTTGCTCAGTCGCCCAGGCTGGAGTGCGGTGGCGCGATCTCGGCTCACTGCAAGCTCCACCTCCCGGGTTCACGCCATTCTCCTGCCTCAGCCTCCCAAGTAGCTGGGACTACAGGCGCCCGCCACTACGCCCGGCTAATTTTTTTTGTAATTTTAGTAGAGACGGGGTTTCACCAGGTTAGCCAGGATGGTCTCGATCTCCTAACCTCGTGATCTGCCCGTCTCGGCCTCCCAAAGTGCTGGGATTACAGGCGTGAGCCACCGCGCCCCGCCGATTCTCAACTTTTAAATGTATTGTTAGGCTGGGTATGGTCGGTCATGCCTATAATCCCAACACTTTGAAAGGCTGAGGTGGGAGGATGGCTTGAGCCCAGGAGTTCGAGACCAGCCTGGGTAACACAGGGAGACCATGTCTCTACAAAAATTAGCTGAGTGTGGTGGCATATGCCTGTAGTCCCAGCTACTCGGGAGGCTGAGAGGATCACTTGAGCCTGGAAGGTTGAGTCTGCGGTGAGCCATGATCACACCACTCAACTCTAGCCTGGGCCACAGAGCAAGATCCTGTCTCAATAAATAAGTAAATAAATAAATGAATTACTATTATTAAGTAATGAAAGGATCTCCTTCCAAGGTCTTGAGAACACTGTAGCTAATTTTTGGATATCCATGAAGACAGGGGATAAAGATAAACCTCTTGGGAAAGCTAAGAAACAGGTACACTACTAGAACAATCAAGAAAACATGGAGAAAATGGTGGAGACGGAAATCAAGTAGGAATAACCAACCTAAAGAGAAGTTTGAAGATTGGCTGGGAAGGCTTTGGGTAAATATCAAAGTACCAGAAGAGCTCACAAGCAATAGACTTAACACTCCCTTCTCATGGCCTTCATAACTTGCTATCACATAGCAAAAATTCCTAGAATTTGCCACTGATCAACAAGAAAAGCAGCAATAAATGACGGAAGAAGCTTACAGTGGTAAATACAAGATTTTTCCATTAGATATATTACAATTATTCTAAAAAATTTACTTCCCAAAATACCTTGGGAAAGGTTAGGATGATATTTGGGCACACTTTCCTAAATAATCTCAAGAAAAGTATCTAGAAGACAACTGTACTTTTCTTCAGGGTCTATACAAATTTTAAACTCTAAAAAAACATTAAGCGCTATACATATAAGTAATTTAGCCACCTACTTTCAATAGGATACCAGGCTGAGCTCATATAAGAAAAACACAGGGGATCGAATAAGACTGAGCAATAAACTGAGAAAGCATATTAATCTCAGAGACAAAAGACTTAAAGAGTTCTAGCACTGATTTCTTATTCTATTTTGAGGAAGGGCATTTAATCACCCTATTTCTGTTTCTCCAACTATCAAATAAATTATCAAATATAAACTGGACTGCCACCTGTCAGAAGTTAGAGAAGGAATTCCTCTGTTAAAAAGATGTTGGGAAAAAATTCTACTTTATCTGTTATTCTATGATTCTATAATCGTATAAATACATCTTCCCCAAAATAAAATAAAGGCGCAGGGCCTCAAGCACACCTCAGAAGATATTTAATTAAATGGTCCTTCTTTGGAATATCTTGAGATAAATTATATCAAAACAACTTTAACACTTATTTTTTCTAGTCTAATTATTCTTTTTTTTTTCTTTCTCTCTCTCTCTCTCGAAAATTTACCTTTATCCTTATCCAATGGTTCCTGGGAAAGAATAGTGCACAGTACCGGGTTTTTCCACACCCCAGTCTCTTGAGCTAGAGTAGCTAAAAAATGCAATTCACAGCTGCCATTCTCCATCAGCTTTTCATGAGCTACCTATAAATATTAAATAAACATCCAAAGAATTACAACAGATTTTTAAAAGCAAGCTTATCAGGCTTTAAATATAATACTAAACTTCTGAAAAGACTTTTATCTTAAAACTTTCACATCACATTAAAAAGTACTCAATTCCTTTACTTCTAATATTTAAAGATGAATTTCAAGGATAAGAAATCATTTACAAATCTTAAATAAATATAATGTATTTACAGAATAAGTCTATATTTTCTTTTCCCCAAAATCTAAGCCAGGAGTAACGTTATTCCTCAAGGAAGCAATCAGAATATCCATACGCATAAAAGAACTTACACATTTTATATCCTCTGTGTTTAAAAAAGTTTTCCCCCAAGTCTACCATTAATAAAAAGATTCACATAACGAACTAAGTGACAACTTACGCATATTCCAATAAAAGGGAATTACAAAAAGAAAATAACTAAATGCACGATTTTTTTCATTTATTCATTGTATAGTTCTGGCAGTTTCACATTAAAGCTGACGATGAACCTTGCCTGCTAGTTGTTTCCAAGTGTTCATGAAAGGGGCATAGTCTTCAGTCCACAGAAGACTAACAGTTTTTATTCAATTCAGAAACTGTATATTGAAAATTTCTATGAACAAAGTTCTAGAGAAGACAGCAACTAGTCCCTGACTTTACGGCGTTTGTCCTCTAGTGGGGTAAAGAAATGTTTAAATAGTTAAAACACAGGGAAAATAAATGCTGTTAGGCATAAACTAAGCTTGAGGAAGCTCAGAAATGGGAACAAAGTGTTGTAGAAACTCAAAGCTGCATGCTATTTTCAAACAAAAAGTCTAATCCTCAAAGCCATACAAATATTCCCATTCCAACAAGTTCAGGTGCTTTATTAAGTTTTAAGTAACTGAATGTAGAGGGATGTAAAGAGTTATTTCCTTCATAATCCATCTAAAAAGGTATTAACTAGTCCTTTTGTTTCAAAAAGGAAAGTGTAAAATTTTATCTTATGTTGGCAAACAAAATCAGTAGCATTTAGAATTCTGGTTAAGCATATTAAGTCTGTAGTAGGGTGTATCTGAATGGCAAACGGTAAGTTTCAAAATAATTTACCTAAAAATACTTTCTGGAAAAAAAAACCTAAGATACAAGTTACGGATATCTGAAGTAGAATATGCATGATCAAAAAGTTAGTTGCAATGTGACAAACAGGACAAGACACTTTCATTTCAACAAACAGTTATGAAGCATTTGTTATATGTAAGACATTATGCAGAATCCTATGACATTAAATAAGATGAATTCCACCTTCAAGGGCCTGTTGCACTTGATGTAGATTTTAACGTTTAATATTAAAATAGGAAAGTTTATTTCTCTGCTTAACTATAGCTTATTCTACATGCTTCTAAAATTTAAGGCTATACCTCTTTAACAAATTTCTTACAGAAAATCTTAAGGCCTAAAGATATTTTAAGAACTCTGGATAGAGAAATGGGGAGAAAGAGCTATAGCTTTGAAACTAGCTGGCAGGAGCATTCTTTTTAACTAACCAATTAATCAAAATTTAATTGAAGCCATAATACATCCAGCTCTAGTGCTTGAAACAAAATTTAATATTCTTGAAAATACTCCAAGACAACTAACTGCTAAATTGTGTAGTATCGCATGTAAGCAGAATAACAACACTAAATAAAAGAGACAAAGCATGTGTTTTCAGGCCAGAGAAAAAGCATGGGCTTTGGAATAAAAAACCTTAGTTTGAATAACTACTATGTGATATTAGCTATACAAGTTTGGGCAGATAATTATTTTAGAGTATGAGCCTCAGTTTCCTCACCTTTAAAATGGGGAAACCATACCTACCCACACAAATTTTCATGAGGATTAAATGATATATGTGAAATTCTTATAAAGCACATTGAAGACTTTCAGAAACCAGTTTAACTGTTTCTAAATCCAAATGAGGGCACTTCCTTTTGTGTTCCCTTGCTGCTCTTACAAAGCCCTAATTATCTGATCATAAAGATTATTCAATCTATCTTATTTAGCAAACACTTGTTGAGATCTACTATATGTAAGACACTAGTGTTAATAAGATCAGTAATTAATGTCTGTCATTATTGAGATGTCTTAAAACTTAACTGAATAATTTTTTTAAGAGTAAGGAAAACTGACATAAGATATACCTATATTAAATCTAAAGATTCTCACCTGCACCAGTGACTGAAATTGTTCCCACTGTTTATCTGATAACTCAACAGGCAGACACAGTAAAAGTTCAACACAGCTTCTAAAAAACAAAAAATTGGTAAGGAGAGGAATAATTATTAAAATTCAAAGGAAAATAGAACCAGTAATTCTAATATCATAAGCAGATTCCCCATAACTAATCTATTTAAAATTAAACTATAAGACTTGAGATTTAATGTTTTTGTGTTCTTTTTTAAAGCTAAATCTAGTTTATTTACTCAAAGGTCTACTCACAATGCCAAGCGTTCCAGAACCAAGGCTACATTTTCACATTCAGAGGTAAGATAAGGTCGGGCTTTAACGTAACTTTGGATAGCCACTGTGTATACCTCCAATAAAGGTAAAGGATCTTCTGAAGTTTTCCATTTCTCTGCATATTCTAGGAGTGTCTGTTTTGGAAGGAATAATAAAAAGTATTCAAAACGTAAATCAAAATATACATTGACTCATCAGCTGTGTTTCTGAAAAATTTTGAAAAATACAAACTTTTATTTATAAAAACAAAAAGTTTATATTGATTAAAATATTAAATGAAATATAGTCATATTTTTGGCAGCTCTCTGTAGGAGAAAATATTAGTATTAATTCATCCAGCAATAGCATCATTTCATCAAGGCTAGTTTTAAATAGTGCAAGAGTAGCTCCTCTATTCCCTAGTAAGTTTTAAAAGTTATTTTAAAAAGACATCTGGGCAAGTAATACTTGACCAGGCATGCAGTGAAGAATTTCAAATAATATCTGTCTTCTATTTTTCGTAAAGCAGCAGAAAATTCAATACTGAAAAACAAAATGAATCATGTATGGTAAGCAAAGACATGTCCTTTTTCAGTCCATAAAAAAATAACAGTACATACAAATTAATAATTTTTTGACAAGCGCTAGCATTTAAAAAGTCATCCAAAGACTTTCAACATATAAAATCAACATTAAAGATATTAAATAATTATTATAAGATTAAGTAATTTCTATAATAGTTTTTAAATTAAAAATATTTCTCATCTTTTAATTAAGTAAATATTTTAAATTTACCTCATCAGAATTTCTTTAAAAGATGCTATTTATCTTACTGAATAAAGATGGGAGATAATGGAAAGAGAAGTTACACAGAAATACACACGTTAAGACTCTTATCTAAAAGGTTCTATAGTTATGCTAAATGAAGAGAGATTCTAAATAAATGTTTTTATAACACAGAAGCCACAATTGGTCCTCTCCACATTTCAGGGTTTAAGACTCATTTAATTAAACATATGGAAATTCAGGTGTCTTTTCCTAGAAAATAGGGCATTGAAGGAAAAAAAATTTCCTGAGGGCCTGTATCCTCTGGCATACAGAAGCAGATTTAAAAACTGGAGAGAGGGAGGAGGGAGAAGGGAGAGGGTGGGGATTGTATTCTACTACCAAAGCACTTACTACCTTGTCCTCTCTACTAACTTCCAACTAACAGAATTAGTAAGTGATCAGACGAAAGCAATAGAAAAAGCAAGCTGGTAAACTAAAGGCAACAAAACAACCACTCACCTACTGAGTAGCCACATATTCACAGACCTTGGCTCTCACTAATCCTTTCCTTTCCTTTCCCCTTAAGAAGTGAGGGCAAATACTAATTCCTAGGGAGAGAAAGGACAGAAAACCTGCAGCCACAGTGCAGGATGTAGGGTGGGGTGTCAGGGGATACTCAACTAGGTTCAAAACCAACTCCACAGCAAAATTTCCCAGTAAAGTTGAGGTAGAAAAACTTATTTCTCAGATATCCAGGAAAAAACACCCCAATCTTTCCCAGATGAACACTGAAACAAATCTGCTCTCATCCACACTTTCATCTCACCTCACAATCCCATTATATCCCAAACCTCCATGGTACAAAATAGATTCTATGTGAGGATAAAAACAATCAGAGATAAGTTCCCTAGCTCAATCCACATGAAGCCCAAAGGTAAAGCTATTCCTGATCTTTTAAGTTCAAGCAGGGATAGAGATGCTGGAGAAGAGGGGAATCCGTGTTTCTGTACCCTCTTGGCATTGTTAAATGTAATGACGAACAAATGACATTGTAGCTGGTCAACATGGAACATGAGATGAAGCTGCCTACATTATACCCAAGATGATTCAGCTTCGACGTAAACACAGAAATTAAAGCCTTTTATTTGCCTAATCATGTCACTATTATACATATAATCCCAATCAGAGACTCACTTTTGCAGGTGTCGGGGCTCAGAAACTGATACCCCAAACTGCGGCACTCTGACATGCTGAGGAAGAAGCCTCAGAGTCTCTCTGACCTTCCCCTGTTCCTTCCCATCTCTTGATCTTCTTTCTCCCAAAGCACAGTTTGAAGTTGTTCTGTGAAGTTTCCTTATCTGTCTAAAGTCCAGATCCACCAAAGAAGAATCAAATTAACTTTGATCCTGTTAAATATAGTGAACCCCAAGTTTCTCTTCAAAGAATCAGTATGTCAGTATGTTCACCTCTCTTATTCTTTGATTCTCCATTTTAAAGTTCAACTCCCTGGTTCTCTTCACCCCCTTGCTTCTAAGTTTCAGTAAACAACTTTCTCGCCAGTCCTCATCAGTAGTTCACATTTGTTCCCTGGTCTCCTGGTCGGTCCTGACTCATCCCGGTCACCTGCTTTATCTGAGTCACCCCTGGTGACCTGCTCTGACCTAAGTCACCTTTAGTTACCTATTCCTAACCATCCTTCCCACCAAACTACTCACCCTACCACTATGGCTCATACCCCCTGCTCTTTTTAAAATAGCCAATCGGAATTAGCTCAGACTGTGTGGGCCAACCCTAGCCAATACGGGAACGACACAGCAGCAGGGGCTACCTGCATCAGGAACAAGAACTCCTTCCCCTCCCCTGTCCAGGTGTGGTCTCACCATTGTTCCATCTGTGAGGAGCACCTTTTCTGCAGAAAGTAAAAATTGCCTCACTGTGAAAATTAAATTTTTGTTTGAGTGCTATTTCTTTGTGGCATTGGGAACAAGCATTTCTAACAGTTCCCTCCCTGAGTTTTTATTAACTGAACTCATAGGGCAGAAACTTTTGTCACAAACCACTGAGTGCTTTGCAGGCTCAACAGACTTTGTCCCAGGCCACTGCATCTTCTTCAAGCCCACTGAATTCCCCTAAAAATAATTTACAACCCTCCTCTAAAATCATCCACATTTCTCCACCTCCCTTTCATTAATAAATTTGTATGCCATTTCAAATCTGCTGTTCGTCAGTTGATTTTCAGTGAACCTTCAGAGGATGAAGGGGAAGTTTTCTTTAGGCCCCTACCCAGGAGAATTAACTTTCTTCTAAATATCCATCAAATAAAGAAGAACTTATATTTCTTACAGATCTGAAATGGTTATACTCTCCAATCTTTTGACCAGCTAGATGATTCAGAGGACAATGACAGAGAACTATGGACTACTAGAAATGAAAACATTCTCTTACACGTGATTTTGATTAGAGCAATTAAAACCTGGGATTAGTTCCTGGTTGAACCAACATGAACTAGGAATCAACATGAAAAAGAAAATTTGGAATTCGATGATGCAACCATTCAATCAAAAGGGATGTTAAGATTCATGATCAGTCTTTGAATTCAGTTTGTGCCACTGGCAGGCATACAAGTATGGTATAATAAAAATAACTGATCTTTGTCCTAGGTTCCTAGCACAGAGCTCCTGAAACCCTTGAAATCTACATACGTGCCTTTTTCATGTTAATGAGATAACATTAGGCTGAGGAGCTTCTAGATAGCTTTAAGATAGGGACTGGTCACTAGAAAGACCATGCCATGATTAGAGAGACGGAGCTTGCAGCCCCACCCCCCAGTCTTGGAGGTGATAAAAGGTCATAGAGATTGAACCCAATCGCCAATGGCCAATGATTTGATCAATCATGTCTATGTACTCCACAAGACCTCCTAAACAACAGTAGTCTAAGAGCTTTTGAGTTGCAAAACAAATCCATGTGCTGGGAAGGTGGCACATTGCAACTCCACAGAGACAGGCTCTGGTGCTTGGAACCCTTTCAGATCTCACCCTAGGTACTTCTTCGTCTGGCTGTTCATTTGTATCCTTTATAATACCTTATAATAATAAGTATAGTATTTTCCTGAATTCTGTGAGTTATTCCAGCAAATTACTGACCCTGAGGAGGGGGTTGTGAGAACCCCTAACTTTGTAGCCAAGTTGGACAGACTTGGGGACCTGGTACTTGCGACTGGCATCTGACCAAAGTCCTACACTTTTTCCCCCATTAAACCAATGGTTTTTGTTCCCACACTCTTTCAAGAATGAATGAATTTGTCTATACACATAAATTTATATTTATACACATATGAACAGACAAAGATAAAAGTCACTGTAATCTGGTTTGAAGATGAGTTTGGGGGGAGATGGCACAGAGGGGAAAAGACAGGGAACAAAACCTAAACGTCTTCCTGCAATGCACCATATTGCTTCCATTAATGAGTAACCTGTACGCAAAATAGGGTGAGAAAATTTAAAACTGTTTTTTGATGAATGACTGATGGAACTAGGGATGCTTAATCTGGATACTAAATAATATTTACTGAATACTTACCACATGGCTAGGTGTTGTTCTAAGAGCTTTACATGTACTACCTATTCAGTAATTAGGTAAATTATAGTAATATGCTTATATTAAAAATTAACAAACCAAGGCATAAAGTAGTGAAATAACAAGCCATAAGATCACAGAGCTAGGAAAAGGCAGAGAAGGTATTCAAACCCTCATAGTCTGACTTCAGAGTGTTCATTCTTAACTACTATGTGATACATTTCTGGAGAAATAAAAATTAACTTGTAAATCCAATTTTTAAAATTTGGATTAAATTACATTAAATTAGCCAAATTCACAAATCTAGAGGCTTGTCACATAAGAGAGGAGTTAATTTTATTCTGTGTGTCTCACAGGTCATACTAGGACCACTAGGTTAAAGTTTCAAAGAGACACTCCTGTTTTTTACCAAACCATCAGAGTAAACCAAAAACAGAACAAGTTGGTCTCCTGAGACAGGTGGTGGCCCATCAACTGAAGTTTTTCAAAGAGGAGCAAGATGATTCAGAGTTGAGGATGCTGAAAGGAGTCATACATTAAAGACACACTCCACCATACCAGAAGAGACTACACTAGTATGTGTGTCTGTTCATAAACTAGTGGCTCATGGATGTTTTGATGTGCACATTGTTCAAAAAATATTTGAATTAGTTTCTAATATTTAGAAGTCATATATTTTACATAAAAACTTGGGTTTCTGGCTTTTCTTTAAAAAAAAAAAAATTGGCAACTTTGGGCCCACATTCCAGCATGGCAACTAGCTAGAGCTGAGTGAGACCTAAGGTCTCCCACTGAGATCAGACACAAG